AGTGGCTGCCTGAGCTGCCCCACTCGTCAGCAGCGAGGGCAAACTGCACCCCGCAGCGCCGTGTTGCTTGCAGTAGTCCCGCTGCCAGGAAGGGAGGGTTGTGCATTTCGAGCGTGTTCTGCTTTTGCAGGTCTTTTCCGTAGCCTGCAGAATGGCTTGGATACCTACAAGTAACAGGGAAGCTAGAGGAGAGTTGTTTATGGGAAGGAGCAACCTCCTGTTTCACTGCTGCTAGGGAAGCTTGGGTTTAAAAGACTCAACAATACATTTGAGATTAATATGCAAAGCAATAGGAGCAATTCATTTTGAAAATAAATGCAAAACCTTTTTGGTGTTACTAAGACTGCAGAGTAGGAAAGCTGAGGGCGTTCACATGGGAAACTACTGCTGAATCCATCTCTTCCCCTTGTGAGACAAACACGAAAAGTGAAAGCGTCAGGAAGGTATTTTACAAGTATTTTCTGCTTTGTGCCCAGAAGATATTTTCCGAATATTTTCTGGTTTGTCCCTTCCCTTTTCCTCGGCCAAGCAGCACAAGCAAAAGGTAGGAAAATCTTTCTTCAAAAGAAAGTCATTTTTCCATCACACAGCGCTGTTTAAAACAAATGAACATACTTACGTATCATCTATAAATGTTATCCCAAAATACTCCTTTTCTTTCAGGTTGAAGTGTGAGGCCACCAGATCCAGTAACTCCCGAGACAAAAGTTTGGGCTATTGAAAGAATAAAAATAATTTAACTCATTTCAGTCCAGGCTTTCCACATACAATACAAATTTTCTCTGCAAATACTGACATTTAAGTACACACGGCCAAGTTAAAACCCTGTTGTACAGCTCAACACAGAAGTGGCTCCAGACTCAGAGCAGTTGGATCTGGTGTCTCCGTGGAGCTGCACGGGATGCGCGGAGCACAGAGGGGTAACTATGTACTTAACCCACGACACCAAGCTGAAGTGCACAGACCGACCGCTGCTTCCCTCTTTCTAGGGGAGAAAAGCAGCAGCTCAGGCTCTCCTGCTCTTACAGCAGGAGGGATTTTTAAACTAAAAAATATGGTGTACCAGAGGATCTTGTGCTTTGGGCTCTGTGAAGGGAATAAAACACATCCCCCAAAATACAGACTTCCCTTCCAAATTACAGAAAAACACCACCATGAGCAGTGTGTTTAATAAACTTCACAAATTTTAGTGGAAGCAGAGGAAAAACTGATGGCAGATATTTTGCCCACTGTGCACCAACGCCCAAGGAAAACCCTTCTGCAAATTTAGGTCTGAGGAAGGGCACGCATGCCTGAAAGCATGCCTGTTTATTCCACTTCTATGAGTCGCACTACTAAGAGATACAACTTTTCTTCAAACATCACTTTTGCATCAGCCCCCCAATAGCACTGCTGAAGAAAATAAGCAGAGAAATCTAGCACCGCGCTACCGGTGCCCAAAAGAGAGGGTTCTGTACCTGAACCAGCAGCTCCAAGTTCCTGTCATCGAGGAGATGCACCTGGCAGTGCCGGCCCTCTGTCATCTGCAAAGACAGCGACACAGCCCCGTGAGGAAGGGCAGGATCCACAGCTTTCCTGGCTTGCACCGGACCACGTGTGGCTCAGGAGCAAGGAGAGCAGGCAGCATCCCCACCTGCACTGATAAGGGAATCGACTCCGTGCTGGAGCTGGGCGTCCTTCTCCAAGCACTTGGTCTGGGGAGCTGCCTCAGCACTCTCAGCTCCCATCAACTTCAAGCCAGAATTAAGGGTGCTTAGCACCGCTCAGGAGAGACCTAAGTGCTGTGAGAATTTAATTTGAGGATAAGCCAGCCTGGCTAGTACCACAGCCACAAGGAGCAGCAACGGTCTTTTGCTCTGGTAGGGAGCAGAGATGACCAGGGACTCATGAAAATCCCATCTATCCAACCCTCCCTGCAGACGGGTCAGCCTAGATTTAGACCTAGACCTGGTCTCTAGTCTAGATGGAGTCTCTACCAGCACACTAACGTTCTCCTTTGACTAACTTCTCACAAGCATTAGCAGTCATTGCCTCCACAGTATTCTCACACAGGTGCTCACACCCATCAAGACAGATGCTTGAACTAAATGATTAAGAACAGGATGAGCTGTGCAACCTTTAACATTATACCTGGACCACCTCGGTTCCTACTTGATGTCACATTTATCTCTTGCAAACAACAGGTCTTTCTCTCTTTAAGACGACAGCAATTCAGAAATAGCTGCACATTATGCCCTTTTAATATCTGCCCTTTGAAATCTAATACATTTCCATGAAAGCTTTTACATTATTTAAAATCTGTTCTAATTCTGGACCTTTCGACAGCTTTGGTGAGGATGGGCTTTGCAGTGCTCTCCGGGCAAGAGCTGGTGAAGGAAACCTGGCTCTTATATTTATGCTCCCAGCCTCAGAGTAAGTCATTTTCCTGACAGCACAAGCTTCTCGCAGACTATAAATTCAGAGCTCTAAGTAGAGGCCGAGGGTGGTTTGCTTAGATAGGAGCTCCCGAGGGGATTAAGTGGCAACACACAGCGGTTTCTCCTTTCACATCCCTCTGGCTCCACAGCGACGGGGACAAGGACAGGGCTGAGCTCCAGTGCCACCAGCACCCTCTCATCACCTCCTGCCCTGGGATGCTGAACATCCAAACCTTAGACTTAAAAATAAATACAATTTATATCCGAACGCAGTAGAACTGAAAAGAGACCTCCCACCTCCCCCCAGTGCTGCCCACGTTTCAACACGCAACTGTTTGCCCAGCCAGGGCTGCGGAGACACAGCCTCTTCTGTCACCAGTCAGCCCCTTTCAGCTCTAAGAAGCCACATGAACAAAGCTTTATTGTTTCAACTAATTGAGCTCGTTTTGAGCAAAAAGCTGAGAGGGAGTTGTCTCCTGAGGAGCTCTGCAAACAGGTCAGAGATGAGCATCTGCGGGCACAACGCTGCCTAGTGTCTGGGAAAACGGGACTACGGCATCTGCGGCACCAGTGCTGGCAACTTCTGGCACTTCTGGCACATCTAAACATGTATCATTGCTCACCAAAACAGCAATACTGATAAAAGGACCATTCGCAGAGCGAGTCTAGCTGGAAGAAACCCCTTCCTTTTCATTTCTCCTCCTGTTGTGAGCATAAATTCGTAGAGAAGTGCCAGATGAAGAGTGGCTTGTGCATGCAGGGGTGCAGAGCAGAGACTGCACTATCACAGAGACGGCAGCGACGCCCCCCGTGCAAACCACAGCCTCACCCCACGGTGCTGCACCCCAAGGAGGCATCAGCCCAGAGCTGCACTAGCCCCACGGCCCCGCTCCCAGCAGGGTACCACTTCCAGCGCTTTATCCTTCAGGTTTGGGAAGCAAAGCTGCAGCGTCCCAATTCCAGCTTCCTGCACACTCCCTGCGATTTATCTGTTCACCGAACACGCCGCCTGGAGCCCTTCAATCCATTACAATCCCATCACGGGTCCGTTTGTGCCCGAGAGCCGAAGGTCTGCCATCGCGTGGTCATAAATAAGTCGCATGTTACCATCAATTAATCATTTCATCAGCGCACCCTTCAAGGTGGTGCATATTTCTGGCTCTGACATCCTGTTACCAATCTGCCCCTGTTGCGAAGTGTCTGATCCAATAGCTTTTTTGAATCATTCCCCATCTGTTGCTCCGAGATAGCACAAGGGTTGCCATTATTTAATTGCAGGCTGCTTTAGCTTTCACCCAGTGAAATCACATTAATCACTTCTGACTGTTTTAATTGCCTCGGTTGTCTATTGTTAAGTAAAAAAGGTTTCTATTAGAGCAAACACATCCACAGAGCCTTGTGCTGAGGAGAAAGAAAGGCTGCCAGGAAGATTAAAACATAAAAGAAATACCAACCATAATCTGTGCTCTTTCAGCTAATTCAGCTATCCAAGGTAAATTGCAAAGCACCTTAAAAGTAAAAGTAATTAAACCTCATGACACCCCTGAAGATAGGCAAGATATAATTATCCCTGATTTTATTGATGAGAAAACGCAAGGACGCAGCTTAAAAGTCTGATTTACAGATATAGATACAGACAACATTTAGTATCCGAGTCTCCAGGAGTCTCATCTCAGAAATCATCCAGCTGCTTCCTAGAGTACTGGAAAGCCCAGTCAAGAAGCTGCAGAAGATGCCACGGAGCTCGGTGATAAAGCACCACGGAAGGCCGTTGCTGTGACAAACCTGGCAGCTCCCGCCTGTATCCCCAGAGCTCTGCGTGGCGAAGGGCTCGTGTCACCCCAGGAACGCTCTGTCGTGTGGTGGGACACCACAGCAACATCTAGGGCCATAACATGACTTCTGCTGGCTGTAGCTCAAGGAAGATGGGGGCTCTGGACTCCTTCCATTCGCTGCTTGCACCCCTCTGCCCCTGCAGCCCATGAACACAAGACCTGAGGGCTACATCCCTGCTAAGATGCCTTCCCCGCCTGGGCTGAGAGGCACGATGTGGATGGATACTCACTGCGTGGCACCACAGCCTGGTCGAGGAACGCAGATCTGCCAGGGTGACTACCAGCTCTGCATTGGCAGGCTCCAGGCGCTGAACAAAGCGGTGTTGACTAGGGTAGCCCTCACGGCAGCCCTCATCCTCCTCTGGCAGACCCAAGGCTTCAGCAACCAGCACCCTGGTTTCTGCAGCTGTGTAAGAGCTCACTCCAAGGATCCCCACCCCATTCCTGATGGGGCAGAGAGCACTTTTCTTGGCTTACTCTGTACTTACTAACACAAGCAGAAGCAAATCACTCCCAATTGCTATCATGGAACAACAGAAGCCCATCCTGCATCAGGAATGTCACCTACCAGAGAGGTCATCTCCAGGAGACAACTCTCTCCTCTCACGGAGCTGCCTCCCTACGTAGACAGGGCTCCTATATACAAGACAGTACTCACATTTTGGAAGCCTAGTTTGTACAGGGGGTAGAACCAAAAGCTTCAGAGGCTACTGCAGCCACAAGACCACTTCAAGCTTTGGAGAGGTGCAACATGATTGTGGTGCAGCAATGCCACACGTTCCAGCACGGTCACAGGTATCAATGGTCTTGTCCTCACCTCTTGCCTGAAGAAAAAGCTGGAGAGCTTCACAAAAGTGACTTCACCACCATAGTATCACTAGATACATGAAGGATTTTGGCCACAGCAGAGTGCCTCCAGCTCAGCAACCAGAGATCCTGAGCTCCTGGAGCTGAAGCAGCAAGGGACTCATTTTTAACTCCCCCAATGACACCGGCGTGATTTGTTTCTCCGCAGCACATCCGCTTGCAGCCCGTTTCCTCAGGCTCTGGGAACGGACTTGGACTTGGCTCCCTGGCCCTCAGGGCACTGGGCTCCTCAAGGACCCGACACCCTGGAAGCCCCTCGTGGGTACATTTTCTTTCATCTTTAATTCAGCATGCCTTGCTAATTCGAACAATATAATTGATTTTCTATGGAGCTGGACCAATCCATCATCAGATGATCACAGCTGTCTGGCTCAGTTCAGGGGTGGCGTGAGCCGTCTTGAGATATATATACACACATCTACGTTTTCAGCTTATTCTCATTGATTTTGCATTGTCTGTACAAACAAACAATTTTGTTGTATTTTTGCAACATGCCCCCAAGTTGGTCTTTTTAGCAGTTATTTTTAAAAGCCTACTAATATTTAAGCTATTATCCAGTAAAAGTAGCAGCAGCAGCATAAAAATCATGGAGTATCCCTGTATCTCATCTCATTCCCAATAGGAAATTAGCAGAGCAATGTAATGCACAGCCTATTTTCGGCAAAGCCATACTGAGACACCAGGATACTGGATTCTTATTGTTTCCCAAAGTCGCTTGTATGCTCTGCACACAAGTAAGCAATAAAGCCTCAAAAATGGAGAGGAATGAAAAGGAGACAAACACCATCTGATGCAGAAATGCAGTAATATCAAAATACTGCAGCCCTCCTAACTTTTAGGTACTGGCAGCTGGCTTTCAGCAAGAACCTGATTTATCCAGATCTTCAGTAAAAAAGGCAGATAATTATGAAGAAACACAATTATCAGAATCTCCATGTGTGGAAATTAAAGCAGAGAGTGAGATTGTCATTCTATATAGCAGCTTAACGTGTTCAGAAAGGTTTCATATAGCTGGAAAAACACACCCCATTTTTTCCTCCATCTTGCCAGTGACAAAAATTAAGACAAATTCTCCACCTAAAAGTCATCGAGGCAGACTTTCCAAAACATCAGCCCTTTAAAAAGAAAAAAACCCAACAAGGCACAGAGAAAAAAAACCCTACTTCTTGGCTACTTAAACCAATTCCCTGTGATATCCTAAGCCTGAGTGTTTATTTGGGAAAACAACCCATGTGCAGGATATTTATGCTATTTCTCTTCAGCAGAAACATCCTCCCTATTGGAAGCTGGTTGTTACATGCAATATTTTTAGACATCCATGTGTGTCATCCAGTTAGGAAAAAATAAGAAAAAGAAAAAAGTAATTAGACAGGGTGTAAACAGGAAATCTCAAAAAAACTCAAG